AGACCCATTGCACTTGCTAATATATTTTCTAAAGTTGTTAAAGAAATTCTCCTGAGTAGGTTTCATAATCTCATTGGCTCTACTGATAATCAATTTGGGTTTAAAGCCAATCACTGATATGTTTATTTTTGCTTTGAAAGAACTAGTTAGTAAATACATATAAAAGTAAAAATTCTACCGTATTTATGTTTTTTTAGAAGCTTCTATAGCTTTTGATCGTGTGAATCACAGGAAGTTATTCCAGAAACTGTGTGATGCTGGAGTGCCTAAACATATTGTGAGATGCTTGTCATATTGGTATGCCCACCAGACTATGTGTGTCAGATGGGATAATTGTATATCTGCACCCTTTCAGACCTGTAACGGGGTAAGACAAGGTGTTGTCCCCGATTTTGTTTTAATTTTTATATGAATGGTCTCTCTAAGGAGCTAACTTTGTGTAAAACAGGATGTATGGTTGGAGGTACAATAGTGAATCATTTAATGTATGCAGATGATCTGGTGATCTTTAGTCCCAGCTCAGCAGGTCTTCAGCAACTCTTGAATGTATGTTGTCTGTTTGGGGAGCTTCACGATGTCAAGTACAACTCTGCTAAAAGTGTTATTATGATATGCTGCACAAAAGAGGACAGGTCCCTTGCATTCCCTTCTTTAAAGTTATCTGGTAACATTTTAAGTGTGTGTAATGAAGTTAAGTACTTGGGTCATGTTATAAATGATGGCTTGTCTGATGACAGGGATATGTATCGGCAGTGCCGCATGTTGTATGCACAAGCAAATGTGTTGGTTCTGAAATTTGGTTCGTGCTCGGACAGAATAAAATTGACTTTGTTTAGAGCTTATTGTACCTCCCTGTACACTGCTCATCTATGGTCTAATTATAAAAAAGGCAGTCTTAGGAAACTGACAGTGGCCTATAATGATGCCTTGAGGTTTCTATTGAAAAGGCCTAGATGAGTGCCAGTGAATTGTTTGTGTCATCTCGGATCAGTACACTATCTGCTGTTTTAAGAAATTTAATGTATAAGTTTATTTGTCGTTTGAATAGTTCTGGAAATAACATTGTTTTATTGCTGACTAATATTGCATATAGTGACATGCGATATACTTCAGTACTTTGGAAACACTGGTATACCTGCCTTTTAAAAGGGTAGTTGTTTATTGGTTGCTCTTTTTATTGTTATTTATTGCTGGTTGTTTCATGGTTTTATTTTTTTTTTAGCATTTATATATCTGGACTTTGAGTCTGTAATAAAGTATCTATCTATCTATTAATTCTGGTTTGTGTGACAATCAACGCTTGAAGTGTTTATATATACTTGGTTGAATTTCGTCACAATATAAAGTAATGGCTGTTGCATACGCTTTAGTTGGACATGGATTTATAGCAAAGGGTTGCATGTAAACACGACGTGGTGAGCTTGCTATGTAATTGTGAGCATGTTATTAAAAAATAACGTGAGAAAGGACTTTGTAGAATTCACCTTTCTGGCACTCATCCTTTTCTGTCCCTTGTGTCTTATCTTTTCTATGTACAGCTGAGAAAGTATAAAGAGCAGGAAAAGGATCAGATTTACGAGAAATGAAATTCCATGACCTAGAGATGACATCTCCAGTGATTATCATTTACGAAGGACCGCTCCACAGCTGGATCACCTGTCAGTGCTGGAACATTTTCTGCTAAGAGACCATAAAGAACTTTAAATCTGCATTGCTTTTTTCTAACCAACTCCTTTAAAGCCACACAGAACTGCAATCCTGGCTCCAGACTGTCAGTCAATGTTAAACCTGGAATACCTTGAAGTTGCACAGATACAGTAAACTGATATGGTTATTGGCTGAGTCCTAAGGTGCACTTGAACTCTGGTACTGGTAACACATCTGTCAACTTTGATGGAAGTACCAGGTTCAAATCCTGGCGAAAATGCACAACCTCATCAGTCTTTTTAGTCTAATATTTTAGTTTACTGTTTGTACTTGCAAAAAGAAACAATAATTTTATAATAAAACAAAGTTGAATCTGACACATTCTAAATATATTCTAATATTAGTTAAGACATCATGAAATCATAAATGCGTTTGCATGGTTTTATTTTTTTAAGTGCATGAATACTTCCTTTTAAAACTTGACTGACATTTTCAATTTCTCTGCCCAGCCTTCCAGACTCTTAGAAAATCAGTTATTCTGTGGAGGAAACAAAGTGGAATGTGTGTACGGTTGGACTCAACCAGTCCTGCGTGTTCTTTTATGAAGAATGCTCAAAGATAAATCTGTCTTTTAAGATATATATTACAACATTCAAGAAAAACAATACAGAGCTCTGGGTTCCGTCTCTATCTGAGGCCCTGATTCTAAACAGCAAAACCGTTCAACTTGCCTTCAGAACAAGAGGAACGCCTATACTCCTAAGCCCAGAGAATTTATAATACAGTTTTTTGAATATGCAAATGACGGTAGATCTGACGTCATCGGTGTTGCCCTTCATCCTCGTTCCTTGGTTGGTTTGTTGACCTTGTTCTGACCCCTCATTTGGTGATCTTGTCGCCAGGCAGATTTTGATCTGTGAAATTCTAAGAACA